AGCACTTAAATTAATTGTTTGCAAACAAAGCCTTATTGTGACTTGTGAGGGAATAGCCATTTTGACCAACCTGTTTGAGGGTTTTCAAAGGATTTTTTTTATTTAAGTATTATGATCATATTCTTGAAATTCAATTATGATGTGTTTGCAAGAGATTAAAAAAAAGTGTTTTTCAACTTCTCACTTAAAACAGCCAAAAATTCTTTTTAAAATAATTTGAGATACACAAAAAATCGTAACATCTCTTCTCTCTAGAGAAAGAGGAACCCTAGCGGTCGTCTTCCCTCTTTGTAAGGGTTAAGATTTTCCACCGCCCCTATCAATATGGGGTTGGAGCGGCAAATTATACTAATTTTAAGTGTTCTAGTGTTTTGGATTGCAACCATGTCGGAGGAGATAGCGCTAGGCAGATGAACGAGGTGCGGCCGGGGGGTGTATCGAGACTGGATCATGAAGCCTTAGTCGGTCATTCCGACGGTGGCGGAGTTGGTATTCACCCATATTGCAAGAGTTCGTCCTCCTCTGGAACCACCTCCATACCAGGAAGAGCTTTGTAGAAAGATTCTATTTCAGTATTATTTTCTCTTTAGCAGTAATTCTTTTTGTTTTTGTCCGAGTAGGTTTGGTTTGAATGTTTGGTTTTTTGGAATTCTTTTCATAGACATGGTTTTGGTTTTGATCATTTTAGACCTAAATTTGCTCGTTTCAGGTTAGCGAGTCATGTTGCTTTGTATGATGTGGCTGACTCTAAGTCTACTCCTAGGGTTCGCGATTGGATCTGTAATTTCTGTCTGAAGGTTGTCTTGCATGTGTATTCGATTTTAATATAGCAGCCGTTCTTTTATGATAAAAAAAAACTTCTCACTTAGTGGCCCGAGAATTGTAGCTTTGAGTGGTGGTTGTTCCATAGGATTTTTCTAGGGTTTGTTTTTCAGATGGGGTTTAATGCCTGCAGCCGACAGTTTGTCCAACCGTAGTGATTTCAATGGAAAAGTTCGAGGAGTAGTTGACTATGGAGGATGAAGAGAAGGGTTTGGTCAGTGAAGATGTGGTCGCTGGTGCAGAGATCGGAATACTCTTAATCAAAAAAGGAATTTAGAAGAGGGAGTTTGTCTTCACCCATATTGCAGCAGGCAGCAGCTCGTCCTTCTTCGGAACCACCTCCGTGCCAGAAAGTAATTTGGGACCTGAAGAGTTCTAAGGAAGTTGTATGGCAAGGAAGGACAACGGGAGCCCTTCGTAGTCCTGGGGTTTTTGTGACACTGCGCCCGTATGTACTTGAATTTGAAAGTTGATATGTATTTGAATTTCCTAGCGAATAAAATTCGTGTAATTGATTGGCATATTTAATTAATGTGCGATTAATTAAATTATTTATTGAGCCCATAATAATGAGAATGAGCTACCAAATATTTAGTTGGGTTATCGTAATAATTTTAGAAGCCCAATGGAATGTCAACTAAGGTTGATAAAAATGTTTGGACAACCTGAGTGCTATTTTGGCCCAACCTGCCGAAAATAGCAGGAATAATTGGGGGGAACTTCCTACACCCACTTAAGATACTCTACCAGTCAAATAACTCCCAAAATTATTGGGAGGGGACAAGTAAATAAGGCTAGGGGCGGACCTATGAGGAGAGGGAATGGCTCAAGACAAAACCACACCCCCATGTCATATCATTTGCCTTATTATTGGCCTTTGATAAAGAAGGAAACATCCCCCCTATCCTCTTGCATTATTCGAACCAACCAAAGGAGGAAGAAGCTCCACGGAACTCTCTCACATAGCTCACAGCTTGAAGGAAGCATCAACAAGGAAAATCCAAGAAGGAGGGGATAGTTTTTTAGGTAAGAACTCAACAACCATCCTTTAACTAGTATTAATCTTGTATGATTTTTAAGAAAACATATGGTGGATTAAACATGGAGTTCCACACATTTAAAAGTGTGGAATAATGTTATAAAGTGGTGGTATTTAACTTAGAAGAGTCGTGGAATCGATAGAAGTTGAAACCGCCGGAAACCGCCAAGTATAGGAGGCTGTTCGCAGTTGCAGACCACGAAAGCCGCCCAGATTTCGTGAAAGCCGCCCGGCTTTTGGCTGCTGTCCAGGATTTCCACTTCTAATCAGTTTAGAACGGGGACTGGTCGAAGGGTTTAACAAAGGCAACTATTGCAGCACTTCATAAGGTGAGGATGACTGACTATATTGCTTAAAATTAGTGAGTTAATTTCATGAGATTACCTAAGGTAATTAAATATGTTTTTAAGGATTATTAATGATTAGTAATGCCCAAGAATGAGAAGACTATTGTCTATAAGGAAAAGGAGCATAATATACAAATTTAAGAATAAATTGTGTATGATTATGTGTTATGAGCATGTTGGCTTGATAAAGGAATTAACTATAAGCTATATGTTGAAATATAATTTTAACTTCATATAAGAGTATATGAGTGATTAAAAGTTATATTTTGTATATTGATGTGAACTATATTTTCAAAGGAAAATTAGTTTGGAATTTGTCTATATGACTATGAACTGAAAATTGGTTTTGTTGGAATTTGTCCGACTAGTATTAAGATACAAGTCGGGGTATTGGAATAAGAATATGCTAAAATTGATCCAAGGTTTGGATTGTGAGATGTGGAGCCTTAAGTAGTCTTAAGAGATGCTAAGGTGGATAAGTATGAACTTTAAGTTATACTAGGGGTAGGCCTTAAGGGATACCCAAGGTAAAGTGAATAATAAATTGATCCTAGATGTAGGATTGGCCTACGGGTGTATTTCGGTAGTCCTTGAGGATAGCCAGTTGAATATTGGTAAATAGCAAGGACCATGGCCTTTCCCGACTCTAGAGAGCGGGGTTGGATAGCATGGACTTACATCGTGATTACGGGTTAGGGTGGAATCCGAATTGGAGACCTTACGAGGCTCCCGACAGTAGTAACACTTAAGATAGGACCCCGAATGGACCTTACCTTCCTACGGGATGATGTGTATGAGTCCAGGGGTGGGATGTTGGACTCCGTCCCGAGGGCCCGATGAGGCCTCAGAGAGCGGTGACAAGTCTCGTAAGGATGATAAGACCTACGGGCGGTGTCGTGTAAACGACGAATGAAATAAAAAGGGGTCGTGTGCCGACAAATTAATTAATTAACTTATTACGAAGATAATAAGGGTTAAAGAAGAACTATCATTATATTATGATATCACTCTATTTGAGGGTGTTAGAAATTGAAACATTGATTATACTTAGTATAGTTGTCATTGTACTTGTCAAATGCTTCCAAGTACTGACCTCCCCTTCACGGGGGAGGCCACCTCACAGTTTCAGGTAGGACTTGAAGGTTGCTACCACCGCCCGTTGCTTCGGGGAGATCAAAGGAGGAGGACGTGGTTCATGCTTCTTCCGTTTCTGTTTTGAAAACAATGTAAATAATGCTCATGGATATTATTTTTGAATAATTATTTGGGGCTTGTATGCTCATGTTTGCCAAAGTGTGGCATAAACTCTTTATTAAATGTTTCCGCTGCTTTAAATGAATATTTTACATTATGGTTGTTTATGGATGTACTATGTGTGAATGGTATTCAAGACGCCTAGTATAGTATGGATGAGTTGGACCGCGGTTGACTATCCGTACTGTACGACGGGTTGTTGACGTGTCCGGTAGGTCCGGGGCGTGACAGTTTTAGGATGTTTTCTTTTAGATTGAAATTTGTTGGTCTGGTATGATCTGAACTAGTATGGTCTGGTAAACGTCTGGTTTCTGTTGATTTATAACTACGGAAGTGTGGTCTGATCTGGTCTGATCTGATCTAATCTGGTATGGTCTGGTCTGGTCTGATTTGGTCTGGGACTAAATCGTCGTCCTTGATGGATCCTGGAATGGGTAGAATTCCATATCTAACGTTGGCTAGGGTTGGACGATATGATTGGGTACATCGACAATAAGTGAGGGACGACGTTGGCCTGGGCTAGTGAGGGTCTGGTGATGGGGGTTGCGACTTGCGAGGCTGGAGGGAGCTGCGAGGCGGGGAGGGAGTTGTGAGGGGTTGGGGCATCAGGGCATGGGAGGCGGGCTGGAGAGGGGTTGGAGGGGGGTGGGGGTGGCGGAATTATGGACAGGCGGTGGCGAGGTACTGACGGGCTTGCTGTGGGACGACATGGTCGGTAGTCGTTGTCACTACACATATCAGGCTAGGGGTTAGGGTCCGCTGGGCTGGGTTGATGGGGACGGGGGCGGGCGGTGATGGTCACTATGGGGTGGCGACAGTCACTGTCCGGTCCACTATGGTCACTACAGTCACTTTGTCATTGTTGGGCGGGCAAATATCGATCATTAGACAGGCAAGCGTTGGTCACTAGACGACCATGCATTGGTTACTAGATGAAAGGACATTGGTCACTGGACGGGTGGACGGTGATAACTGGACGAGCAGACATTGATCACTGGATGGACATAGATCACTGTACCACTACTACATTTTCGGGTCTTTTGTAACAGCAGATTTCGTGACCTTTGGTCCAAAAAACTGTTACATTCGACTTATTGTAATAGTTTCTCGTCGTTACATTCGCTCGCGTTGCATTTGCTCTAATGTAACGGTTTGTAACGAAATTTACGATCAATTGTAACGGTCTTCACAATATACCACAAATGTTACAATAGATTGAGCACAAGTGTAACAGTTTTAAACTTGCATAGTAGTGATACATTTGCTCTAAATTTCGTTACATTCTCTAATGTAAGAATTCGTAAAACACACACACACATATATAAACATACATACATAATTATTTATTTATTTAACTAGATGGTAAACAACCAAAATATGTAAGGTAAATATTGAATGTCGTATAACAAGTTTTTATTCAATATAAGACATGATACAATAAAAATAGGGGGGGACATATACCTTACCCCTACAAAATTAAGAACTATGCATGTAGGGTACCCAAAAAAATATAAAATTAAAACACCTCTCACATTTGAGGGTAAACTAGCAACATTATAATAAACACTAAAGTCACTAATATCATAACCGAATTTGGCTTTGAACTTTGCTAAAGACTGAGCACTTCACTTAGTTTGCCTCCCTAGAAAAAATGATTGAACGATACCCTTCCCAAGGTGAGAAAACTTTTGAATGTCTTGAATCTTGGAATGGAGCTTCCTAACAGCCATAGCGGAGACTACTAGCAAGATGGAATCAAGAGAATCACATTTCACCTGAAATGGAATGTATTAGAGTTAACAACTCTCATGATAGTGATAATATAATAAAAATATTCGGAAAATGTAAATAAGTATTTAGATTTGAAAAACAGTGATGTACTTTTATAACCATTTAAAATAGTAGTTTAAGTCCTTCAGTTTATTAACCAAATGCTCCAGCAGGTTGTAAGAAATCACAATGTTTTCTAGCATATAATTCCTAATTCTCTAAACTTTGATCAATTGGCCGTAGTTCTCATCTATTGTAAGGTTACAACAACAATTCAATTCGATTCAAAAGATGAAAAAGGTCGGTTTAACTCAATTTGCACCTTCCTTGTAATAAATGTTGGAGTTACTATCGAACTATCATCGTACATACGAATGCATGTGAACTATCATGATCCCCTGCTTAGCCCAACAAATGTGTAATATAACTAAACTGACCGAATTCCAAGAAGCATTCAGATACCCATTAAGATTGTTACCTTCAAAAATTTTGGGTGGATGTTATTGTTTCCTTTTACATTCTGTAAAAACCTTAGGAATGTGATGGGGGTTAATCGCCACAACATAAAGCACGCTTCTTCCCTTGTAGCTTCTGCCATAAACACAACATTTCAACAGTTGAAAAGTTTCTCAAATAAAAAAGATCATAGACTAATTAAGTATTTCAATTGGTTGTAAGCAAAGATTGTTTCTCAATAGCTGAAAAGTTTCTATGATAAAAAGATCAGAGACTAATACTTTGGCAGAAATCAACTAATGAAAAGTTTTCTTTTTTGATAAAAAGTAAGCCATTAAACCTAATGAATTGAAAACGGACAGGCAAATTTTTTAACCTACACACTTGAAACTTAACATCTTTGTCCCATTTTTATCAACTAAATTCTAATAAAAGGCAATGACATTTATTCGCATCCCAACTACGTAGTGAATCAAATATTTCTATGACTAAAGTAGAAAGTCACAAAGGTGAAAGGTATAAAGATAGCTACCAAGCTTGGGTACGATTTCCGCTTGTTTGAATGGAATGTGGCATAGGTGCTCATTTTCCAAACTCACAGTGGCCTTCCACTTAATACTATCATCTCAGAAAATCACTGAAATTGAAATCTAGCAAAGAAAGAAAATCAATCGAGCTCAAATATTAACTTCTTATGAAACCAGCTTTAGTGCGGATAGTATAACTCAGCTAAATAATAACCGCTCGTTAAATGTAGTAGTGTTTGTTTGTTTCTTATCTTTAAGGACTGCAAAAAAAATCAAAATATGAATTCATATGTAAACAAAACCTTGCACATTTTTTTATGCATACAAATGTATATACTGGCATGAACAAATCAAGCTATATATATATTTACTCTGTACATTAGAAGATAGGAAGGTCTACAGACTATAACGGGCTGTTAATTGCATCCTCATTTATTGAGTGTCTACGGAAAAGGTTGATTTCAAACAGGATTGAATCCAAGTGCAATTAGTCAATTACACTACTAAGAACACTGCCAGACACTTGAACAAAGAACAAAACACTTAAAGTATTGTACAACAAAATAAAAATGGTATAATGAATCAGATGATGTTTACCATGACTCAGAGATTTCAAAGGCTTCTAAAGGAGGTAAAAATAAGCCTGCTGCTTCTCTACCAAACCAGTCTAATGTTGAAGTTTCATTGAGATGCCTGAGGCTGAGCTCCTCTAGGTACCTGAAAATTTGGTTGAAACCCGAGCATTAAACAATAGCATACATTTAAAATTCAAACTCCCAATGTGTATGTCTTATAACTACTGGTTTCTAGTTCAAATAAGAGTTAGATCTTAGTAATGCTAGAATAATAGGATTGGGTTCTGCAATCGCGATCCTCTCCTGTAGTAAGAACTATAAAATGAAGCATTAGAAGACTCATAGAACCACTAATAAGGAATGATGCAAATCTGATCCTAGGCATAGGTTGAGAAGGAGAACAGAAATGCCAAACTGATCAATAATCTGAGGAGTGTAATACATCACCCCATTTATACCATAAAACATCATAAGACTTTCTTGTGAGTCTTTTTGAATCAAGCTTAAGTCATTACTTAGTGGACCCCTTCGCAAAAAGCAGCTCCAAACCTCATAATGCTACAACCATGGTTCTAAAACTCGGAAAAATCGGCCGCCTAGTCGCCAGAAAATCGTTAGGCGGTATGCTGCCGCAGGGATTTTCTTGTTTTCGGACCTTTAGTCGCTCTGCCGATAAGGCGGCCGCCCAGACCGATGAATCGTCTAAAATCGTCCGCCTAACCGCCTAGGATGACAGGTCAGTCGGCTCCAGTTCACAAGTATGTTTTCTTCTCTTCACCCACTTAGGAGTACGACTTTCTTCTCTTCGCCAATCGCCCAGACCACTCACTTGTGACTCTTTCTTCACTGCCCAGACCTAAAAAGATTCTTTCTTCTCTTCGATGGAATTTTGGCCATAGTTGATGAGTGACGAGTCCTTTTCTCTTCTTGAGTATTGAACCAGCTTATCCAATCTCTAGTGACCAGCACTCAGGTAAATATATTTTCAATGTATTAATATAGTTTATTATTAAGATGGTACCGAAAATATGTGTTGATTATTCTTGAAATTGAGATAGTTTGTATGTAATTAGCATGTTTCTACATGAGCCGCAAGATTGACTTTGGAGCTTGGAATGCAACTATGGTGTTTGATAAAATTACTGACTTATGAATAGAGAAATTGATAGCCTAATATCGATAAGAATTTGGATGCAACAATGGTGTTTGATAAAATTCCTCAAAAAATTAATGCAAACTTTAACTAGCAATTTATTTAGTAAGTTTATTTTTTATTTTGTGTTAACTTGTTAAAGTTTTAGAAACAGAGAGCTCAAATAGGACAATTATTCTGGGTAGAAAACTAATCGAAATAGGTTTTAGACTTTAGTTCATTTTTTTCCTTCAAGATTTGCTCTGTCACTTTAGTTTGTGCTTCCATATCAGGCTTAAAGATGGCCTCACATGCTCCGTATAGTGATTCTGAGGCAGTCCCAGCAACAACAAAGTCTTTGGCAAGCTCCCTAGAAAAGTTTCAAAGTTAAACAAGACCTTGGTAACAGTTTTAGGAGCTAATCCCTTGTCCCTGCAAACATATTTGCACCGATTGAATCCATTGTGCAAATGATATGATAGGTTTGAATTGTCATCGTCTCCTAACAATCCAGCAATTACAGGTTGGCAGAAGAACAGATCAAACCTTTTCTCATATAGAATAGCAAATACTAGGTTGGAAAAAGTTTCAGGCTGCATGTTTCTTTCTTCTCTAAGCTCATACAACTTGTGACATTAATTATTATACTTTGCACTATGTAATGTGCAATGTTTATTACTCATTATGCTTAAACTTTATTTATTTAATGTAGTAATTTGTGCTTAGAATATTTATATATATTTTGGTATTTTGTTGAAACCGAGTTGACCGCCTAGTCGGCGACTAATCGGCGCTTAGTCGTCCTAGGCGCTAGGCAGTGCTTTGCCGCCCGACTAGCGCCTAGCGAGTTTTAGAACATTGGCTACAACCATCGACCATTATGCAAATGAGTTAAGGCAACACTACAGGAAGTCTGCAATAGATTTTAGTTACCTTCTAATGTGCCATCAATTTATCCCTTCACAATTCCTAGTAGAGAGGTGCATCCGTGATTGAATAATCAAAAGCATACAATTTACTTCAAAATTATTAGTTATACTTCACCCCACTTTTGATAAATGTCTATAATTTAAGGGATATTGGTGACACATCAAATGAGAAATACTATGAACTGAAAATACACAGTTGCCTTTCCTGCCCATATATTGGCTTATTAAGGAATTGTAAGTATGTAGTAAAATGCAGGGATATAATATGAAATGGTGTTACTTTCTATCTTCTTTATTATATACAAGTATCAAAAAACAGGAACTATAAACTGAAGTATATAATGTAAATAGTTTAGGATTCATCAATTAAAGAATTAAATAGCTTACAGTCAACCAAAATATAGGAATCATCAACTAAAGGAGCAAGATTGTCATACCTCTAAAATAGAATCATTATTTTCAATTTTAATCGAAAAGAAATAGCATAGGTTATGTTATATCCAAACTCAATACAAACAAAAAACTAGTCCAGCACGTACGACTAATATATTCTAGTTTAGACATTTCGTCGAACACCTCTTGTGCAGAGAAAGAAAGAAAAATACCCGACTAGCTAGTTTAGACATTTCTTCGAACACCTCTTGGACAGAGCTAACTTATGGTCATTCTTGGCCTTCTTGAAACAACATTTACCCATGGGAGATGTATACGTCAACCTCGTAAAAAGCAGAGAGCATAATAACTAAGAAAAAAGCAGAGAGCATAATAACTAAGAAAAAAGCAGAGAGCATAATAACTAAGAAAAACGCAAAAGAGTATAAGAACTAAGAAAAACGCAGAGCAAAAACAAGACTGCAACTAAATACGATAAACAAAGGATGATATTTTGATATATACCTTTGAATTTCTAATACAAACTTTAATCAACCTAAGCACGAGAAAAAATCAGCAAGAGACGGCCCAAAATCGCCACAAAAAATAAGAAGCAAAATTTTAAAATCGAGTGATAACCCATGGAATGTTGAACGATAAATGCTAAGGATGAGCTTTTGAGAAGTAAATCCGCAAATACAGATGGAAACTAGAAGATGTGATTCGTTACCCAATTTATATTGTGAAAAGGGGGAAAGAGGAGCTCATGAATCTTGAGCCAGAGCGTGGAAGCCGTTCCTTAGAGTAAAGCTTTTGGCTTTAGCTTTGTTAGGGTTTTTATTTTTTTCTAATAAGGAGTAAAGCTTTGATTTTTTGATTTTTTATTTTGGGATTACTTTACTAAAAAATGGCGGGAACTAAGATTTCGCAGAAATTCGTTTACCGCTAATTTTACTTTCAATATTTTTGGATACGGGTATATAAAGTGTTACATTAAATTTCACTAAATGTAACATTTAGTAAACTAATGTAACGATGTTTATGTAATTTTCGAAGTGTTACATTAGGATCAGATTAAATGTTACTATTACTAAGTAAACATAACGACAAGTGTAAAACCATTACAATTGACCATTTTTTTGTAACACTTTGAACAAGTGTTAGAATTTTATTGTTACATTAGACTTGAAAATGTAGTAGTGTACGGGCGAACATTGGTCACTGGTTGGAGAGATAGTGATCACTGGATTGGCAGACAGGACGTCACTGTGGCGTTGGTCACTGTAGTGTTAGTCATTGTAGTGTTAATCACTATAATAATGGATCAGACAAGGATGGTATAATGTTCCCCGTACTATTTTTATTCTTTTGTTTGAAAAAAATGGCAATTGGTTAACTTTACGCATTATTCTTGTCGTAATCCCAATATTGTATCATGATATGACATTTCCTATTAATACAATGCACATTTGTCGTAACCCAAATGAGAAAATGATTTTAAGAGAAAAATGAGAATGAGACTAGACTGTTAGACGTGTAAAGAAAAGCATCACGGAACATAAAATGAAAGTGTATTTCTTCATATCAAGTTCTATGTGTACGTACACAAGGCTCATAACTTTTTATGATAAAGGAGTTTACATTAAAATACTGAGAAAATGGGTTAAGTATTCAAACATTTAATCCAATCACTACAACAAAACACACATTTTGCAAACGCTCTAAATATGTTACATTAGATTACTGAAGTGTTGCGAAAACGTTTATTCAACACTTTCACAAGTGCAAGATCAGACCTCGTTGCATAAAGTCATATACTCATATGTAACATTTTTCACCATATTATGCAACATTGAGTTTAATTGTTGCATAAGCAACTCAAATGTAACACTATTTTGCAACACATTGATTAGAATCTTAAGCAACACTTTTTAGAATCAAATGCAACATAAAAATATTTCTTCAAGCTGGGGGTGGCTTGGAGAAACCGAATAAAAAAATTCTGAACCGCAACCTAAGCAACTGAACCGCAAGAAAACCGAACTCATAAAACTGAACCAAACCGTAATTGTTTGGTTTCAG